TTCTCTTTTTTAAAAAAAATTACAAGTAAAAAAAAAAAGAAACATTTTTTTGGCCCCCTTTTTTTCGTTCTTCATAAAAACACGTTTTTAACAGTATTATGAAAAAAAATGTGTTTTTTAGACAAACTTTTCAAAAAAACGGTGTTTAAAACGTTTTTAAAAAAAGCTCAGATTTTTTTAAAAAGTCGGCGATTAGTCACTGATTTGCTAACTGCGGTCGCAACATAATTAAGTTTCACCTCATAAATCCATCGAAAAAGATTATGTAGATGTTAAAAAGCCGATTTGCTAACTATGGTCGCAACAGAATTAAGTTTCACCTCAAAAATCCATCGGAAAAGATTATTTAGATGTTAAAAAACCATCTAATTGATCATCTTGATGTTGAGATGTATAAATATGTGAAAAAAAGAATGGTTTCGAGTCCCAGAATCAGTGCAGCTTGCAACACATTATTTGGAGCGTCCATTTTTAATATTTTCATGTGTTCATAGATCTACTTGATTTGAACTATTTTTTAAGTTTTAAATTTCATAATTAGAGATGAAAATGGATTACCCGGTCATCATAAAAAGTTTTGAGACCAAAGTTACATCTTATAATATAATTTGGAGGTGTAATGACTTTGATTGTTTAGGGTTACAACCTTTTATAAACCGCACCCGTGTTCTTTTGGCCTACAACCTTGCTGTGCTTCGTGTGCAACGCTGTTCTTTCGTGATTTTGGCACATGGAAGTCCATGACATGCCTCTAGCTATTTGATTTCACACCCAATGGCTGAAAGTGATTTTGACCACCTTATAATGAAGTAAAATGATTTTTTTTCCGAGCAAAGAGGACTTCTCTCCACGATGCAAATATCGCCTGCTACAAGTATGAAACCATGGCTTCAACTAGTGGGATACTTACTCTAAGCAAGAAGCCTGACATCCAAAGTTCCATCCAAATGGAAAATAACCACAAGAAAGAGAAAAAAAATGTATTGAATCTTTTTTAACTTCCTATGTATGAGAGTTGCATATGCATTTAACATCCATCCAGCTCACTTCAGCTGAAGAAATGAGAAAAATAGGACTGGAACATTCGATTGATCCGAGCACTACAAAACCAAATAAGTAAATCTGCACTGCGAGACTAATTAGGTCTCAAAACTATGGCCATGAAAACCAGTACTGAACCTTAAGCTTGGACAAGTTTTCTAATATTGACTGGAAATACATCTTTCCAGTCTCCATCAAGCAACCTTTTCGCTATGATAACATTTGTAGCTTCTGAAGGGTGATACGGGTCCCAAAATATGTATTTTGAGCGGTCTAAACAGAACTTGGATACCGGGCCGCATGGGATCAGGCCCCCGAAGCGCCCGCCCGCACAACAACATGCAGAGTCCGGAACCTCAAAGCCTGTAAAAATCATTTTCGACGAAATGAGTTTCTTTTTTTTTTGTGACAAAAAGGAAGAAAAAACAACAAAAATTTAAGTGTTATTTGACACGGCAGTCTTGTATGTGTGCGTGTGTATGTGTGACTTCATGTCTCTCTCTTATCACTGTCCATCAGGTCATTGGACAGTTATGACCCCAATGTACTCTCGGTTTCATGGTCCACTCCGTTGTATCATTTATTTTCATGTGCACTTGAGCATGTGATTTTTTGTAGTTCTTTCTTCT